ATACTAATACTAATACTAATACTAATACTAATACTAATACTAATACTAATACTAATACTAATACTAATACTAATACTAATACTAATACTAATACTAATACTAATACTAATACTAATACTAATACTAATACTAATACTAATACTAATACTAATACTAATATTAATATTAATACTAATACTAATATACTACTTATATTAATACTAATACTAATAATACTACTAATATAAATACTAATTTAAATTCTAATATTAATACTACTAATATTAATACTAATAGTAATACCAATATAATTGCTAATACTAGTACTACTAATTTTAATACTAATGCTAATACTCATACTAATACTACTAATATTAATACTAATACTAATATAAATGCTAATAATAATTTTAATACTACTAATATTAATACTAATACTAATATAAATGCTAATACTACTTATATGAATACTAATACTAATATAAATGCTAATACTACTAATATTAATACTAATTCTAATAATGTTAATACCAATGCAAATTCTAATGCTGATACTAATGTTAATGCTAATACCCATATTAATAATATAATCTTAACAATAATTTAAAAAACATTAATAATGATTATAAGACTAGTTAAAATACATTATAAAAATAATTAAATAGTGATTTAATTTAGGTAAATAATAGTGATAATTAAATATAAATTGAAGAAAACATTTATATTAATGAATCTAATATTCAAAATTAAAATAATAATAACTTAAACAACATTTAAGATTAAAAAATTTAAGGATTTCCCATTGGTTTATAATTTGTTTTATAAGATAATATTAATAATTTTATAATATAAGATAATAATAGTTAACTAGAAAACTAAGCTGAAAGCAAAAATATATAGTAGTAATAATTAATATATTTTGCATAAAGTAATTAATAAAATTAAAATAATTAATTGACTATGAATAATAATGAATAAGAATAAGATTTCTTTAATTAATAATAATAAAAACAAGATATTCTTAATAATAAAACTAATATAATTAGAAAAATTACAGATATAGAATAAGGATGTTAACAATAAAGTTAAAAAAATCAATAGATTTAATAACAAGAATAATAATGTGATTTAAATATAAATGAATAATCTTTTAATAAAATTTAAATTAATTATAATAATAATAATAGAGAAACAAATTAAAAAAACTAATTAAAAAATAATTAATAAACTTAAAATATAAATAATGATTAAAATTAATAAGAAAAAATTAATTAAATTGATAAAAATTAAAAATTAATATATAATAATATGAAACAAAATTTAGTAAAAAATGAATAAAATAAAAATAATGAAACAATATAAAATAAATATTAAGAAAAAGAATATCAAAATAAGACTTTATAAACTAATTTAAATAATAATAATAATAATAATAATAATAATAATAATAATAATAATAGTAATAATAATAACAATAAAATATAAAGTTTAGAAAAATTATCTAGCTTTTAATAATAATCAAATATAACTTAATAAAAATATGAATAATAATAAATAATTGATATAAAAGACATATCATAAAATAACTAATTATCATTATAAATATAAGATAATTTACTTAAAAATCAATAGATAGATAAATAAACTTGTAATTTAATATAAAATCAATAAAAAATATAAAACTAGTAATAATATTCTTCAAATTTTAACTATAAATTAAATTAAGAATAAAATCTTTTAGAAATTTAAAACTATAATTAAAAATAATGCATTAGCTAAATAAATTAAATAGAAGAATTTCAAATTAATTAATAAGAATTATATTAACACAGAATTTCTTAATAATCAAGATAAGTTTTAGCTAGATACAATTTAAATGAATAATTTCTAATTGAAAAATAAATAGATTTATAATATTTTGACGAATTAACTGACGATATAAAAGATGAATTAATTTTAGAATTTTTAACTTAATAAGTAAATAATAATATATCATTAACTTTATTACATATTGAACCGAATACAGACTAATAAATAGATTAATAATAATAAAAATAATAATATAATATATAATAAACACAAAGAAATATTAGTTAAAATAGATAAAATATATAAATTGTAGAACAAGCAAATCCAGAAACAAGAAAAAATATTTTAATAAATTCCGATGAATTATTTTTAAAAAGTTTAACAAAAGAAATGTAAGATTAAGCTAAAATCCTTAGAAGTGAAATAAGGTTGAATAATTTAGAATAATTCAAATAGAATAATAATAATAATACTTAAAATTCATAAATAACATAAAATAATATGAATAATGTCAATAATAATAATAAAATTAATAATATAAATAATGTAAATAATATCAATAATATTAATAATATGGATAGTATTAATAATATTAAAAATATAAATAATATAATAAATATGAATAATATTAATGATATTAATGATATAAATAATATTAATAATATTAATAATAATAATAATATAAACAATATCAATAATAATAATGTCAATAATATCAATGATATCAATGGTATAAATAATTTTAATAATATTAATAATATTAATAATATAAATAATATAAACAATATAAATAATATAAATATTTTAAATAATTTAAATAATTTAAATGATATTAATAATTTAAATAATATTAATAATATAAATAAAATAAATAATATAGAAAGTATAAATAATTATAATTAAACGAATGAAATCAATAATATAAATAGAATTAACAATAATATTAATAATGTTAATAATTGTAATATTTAAAATAATAATATTAATAATACAAATAATTAATATGATTATAATAACAATAATAATAGTAATAGTGATAGTAATATTAAAATTAATAATAACAATAATAATAACAATGATAATAATAATAATTGTAATATTAACTAATAATAATAATAATAATAATAATAATAATAATAATAATAATAATAATAATAATAATCATAATGATAATGATAGCAATGATTATAATTATGAATATTTAAATAATAATAATCATCATCATCATAATAATAATCATCATCATAATAATAATCATCACCATAATAATCATAATAATCATAATAATCATAATAATCATAATAATCATAACAATCATAATAATCATAATAATCATAATAGTCATAATAATCATAATAATCATAATAATAATAATCATCACCATAATAATAATCATCACCATCATAATAATAATAATAATCATCATCATAATAATTAAAATGGTTTTATGGATTTCATGTTACCTGGATTTTATTAAGGATCTAAAAATAAAGGTTAAAATAAAAGGAAATCAATAAAATTTATCGATGATTATATATGTAATGATTTAAATAATAAAAATAAATTAATTTAAACAAGCGATTAATTAATAGAATCCATATTGCGATTTATTTATTAAGGAAGTAAAAATAATGAACATTTTCCTATTTACTTACTAGAATTAATATGTGTAAATGAAGATGTTGAATATAAAGTTTTTGATGCATTATTGTTTATTTTAACTAACTAAAATATGAAAACATAAATTGATAAAGATTAAAAAGTATTTGAATTATATAGTTTCCCTCTTTTAGTATTTATTATAAAATTCAAGAGAAAATGATTTTAAAAAAGTATATTTTGATGTAAGTTTAAAGGTTTTAAAAATAATAAACATGCTTACTTTAAAAAAAGTGAAATATTTTTTAAACTTTGAAAAAAAAAAAAATAGCTTAGAAAGCATAAGAAAATTATCAAAAAATTTCGAAATAAAACATCCAAATGAATAAATTCCTTTGTTTTAATTTATAAATCTGTTAAAAACAAACCCGTTTATTGATAATTAAGAACATTTATAATATTTATTATTTTCTATATTTAATATTACAAAGAAATATCTCTAATAACATCTATTAAATAATTAATAATAATAACAAGAAAATACTAAATTAAAACTATTTCCAGATGTTATTCATTCTATATGTTAATGCTTTTCAAGTTAATGTTTAGATGATAATCTTACAAAGAAACTTTCTTTAATAATAAATTAGTTTTGTTTTGAATAGAGTAATTTAGATATTTTTATAAATGAATTAAGAAGTATTATAACTCATTTTTCCTTACAAATAAATAAATGTTTGGAAGAAAGCTTAAAAATATTAAAAGGATTAAATAAAAATAGTTTAAACTTTTAATATTAATTTAAAATATATATAACTTAATTGGAATATTAAATTTAAGGAGAAAAAAAAATTTAGAACATTTTTTAAATTATTTATGAGTTGTTTGAAAAGTCCTTTAATTAATTTGAAAATCAAACTGAAAATGAAGATTAAAAAAAAGAAGAGGAATATAATAAAAAATTAGAAAGCATTAAAAAAGATATTAGAATTTAATTTGGAGATATAATTATTAATTAAAATTTAATAGATTTATGGATTCATACAACTGAATTATTCTCATTATTAGGTGACTTGGATATTTCTTTATATTCTGGAATTATTGAGAAACTTTAGCCTATAATTGAAAGCTATTTTATAATTTTCAGAATTATGAATGATGAAGATTTCGAATTTTTTAAAAAAAGTTAATGTGAATAATAATAAATGATTTAAAATAACAATCAAAATAACAATAAGAAAGAAGTACAAAAAAATAAATATCATAATTAATAGATGAAACATAACTAGAAGATAAAGACAGCAAATTAAATTTCGATATTTTAAAAAAGAAAAGCAAAGAAGCATAAATAGTATAGAAATATTCAAATTTTATATGCGAATAATGTAAAGTAGTAATAAATATGATGATAAGGTAAAATTTAAAGCTAAAAAGACAAAATAATTAAAAGAAAATTAACAAAATTCTATAAAAAGATCCTTTCGAAATTGTTTTTAAATAAGCACCTCATATTATTGATTTTGAAAATAAAAAAAACTATTTTAAATTGGAAATTATTAATCTTAGAAATTAAAATAATGCACATATTAAAAGAAAGAAAATTAAAGTTAAAAGGAGCCAAATCTTCGAAGATTCTTTTTAATAGATTCATAATCTCAAATCTGAAGAACTTAAACATAAATTTGTAATTGAATTTGAAGGGGAAGAAGGAATCGATGCAGGAGGTTTACTTAGAGAATGGTTTACTTTACTTTCTAAAGCTATTTTTAATCCTGATTATTTACTTTTTAAACTATCTTCAAATGGAAATACATATTAGCCTAATTAGAATTCTTATATTAATGATAATCATTTAGAATATTTTAAATTTGTAGGAAGAATTGTAGGAAAAGTAACATTTTTTTATTTTTTTTTACAAAAATATTATAAAAAGGCTTTGTTTGAAGGGTAAATGTTAGATGCATATTTCACAAGATCTTTCTATAAACATATTTTAGGATAACCTTTAACTTATCATGATATAGAAGATTAAGATTAAGAATTCTATAAAAATCTTAAATGGGTTATTGAAACTGATATATCTTAATTTACGGATTTGACTTTTAGGTATTTTTTTTATGTTTAATTTTTCTTTTATATTTTTAGTTTTGAAGAAAATGAATTTGATAATTATTAAGTTATTGAACTTATTTAAAATGGTAGAAATATTTCAGTAACTGAAGAAAATAAACATGAATATGTTAAGCTAATGTGCTATACTAAGATGGCTAGAAATATTAAAATTCAAATTGAAAAATTCCTAGAAGGTTTCCATGAACTTATTCCGCATGAATATATTAAAATTTTTGATTCCCATGAATTGGAATTAATGATTTCAGGACTCCCAGAAATAGATAGTATTTTTTTAATTATTTAAATTTTATGTTTTTTTATTTTTATTTTTTTTAGTTTAAGATCTTAAAGAAAATAGTGAGTATTAAAATTATACTCCTAATAGTAAAATAATTAAATGGTTTTGGGAAATTCTTGAAAGCTTTGATTAAACTGAAAGAGCATCTTTTCTCTAATTTGTTACAGGTAAATATATACAATTAATACTTAAATTAATGTTTAATAAAAACTTTTAATATATTTTAGGTACATCAAAAGTGCCTTTAGAAGGTTTTAAATAATTAAGAGGGTATTCTGGGCTTTAGAAATTCTAAATACATAAAAGCTATGATATTAGAAAATTACCTGTAGCTCATACTTGGTAAATAAAAATATTTTTTTATTTATTTAATTTTTTAAAAAATAAAAAAGCTTTAATTAATTAGATATTCCTGAATATCCATTAAAAGAAATATTAAAAAAAAAACTTTTACTTGCGATTTTGGAAGGAAAAGAAGGATTTGGATTCGCATGAATTTTTTTTATTTAAAGCCTGCCTTTATATTTATTCTATATATTTTAAAAACATAAAAGATTTTTTAATATTGTTTTTATTTAATTTTAAAAATTACATATATTAAGTATTATATTTAATAATTAGTATATATTCAATTTAATATATTATTATTAGTGTTTTTATATTTTTTTTATTTATATTTTCAAATTAAATAATAAAAGTGTTTTTATAATTTATTTTATTAATTGAAATATATATTATATAAATTTACTAATATATTTTAGTTTATAATAAAGATAATTGCAAATTAAATAATTTTTATAATTGTTATATTATTTATTTCTTTTAATTTAAATTAAAAATAAATTATATAATCTATTTATTTTATAATAAATATTATTTATTTTAAATAAAGAATAGAAAGATAAAAGATAAAAACAATAAATAAATAAAATAAAACATTGAAAAAAACAAAATAAAAATGATTGTAGAAAGTAATTTTATTTAAATAAAATTATTTAAAATAAGGATAAATTTTTAAAAATAAAACATAGATTAAGCATTACAAGAACCAAAATAATGGGATTAATAAACATAAAATAATCTTAATAGATTATTTGATGAATTTTTTATTGATAATTTAAATGAAAATATAAGAAAAAGTAGTCTTTAATTATTATGTTCATTATGGGTGACAGGTAATAAAAATTAAGTTTTTATTTGTTATTATAAATATGAAATAATAATTAAAATTTAAAAGGAAATTATGAATAAAAGAAAAGCTTCTATGATATATTATATTCAAAATGCGATAATTTATTAAATTATGGCAAAAATAATGAAGAATTTTTCTAGTTATTTTAATTCATGTGCAATAAATAAAATGCGAATTAAGAATTTATAGTAAAAAATATAACAATTATAATTTAACAAAAAAAATATAATATAACAATTATAATTTAAAAAAAATAAAAAAAATCTAATAAATAAAATTAAAACAAATAAAAAAAAAAATTTTTATTTAAACAAAAAAATAGTAAAGTATTTAAGATTTATTTTCTAAATTGCTTTTAGTATTTTCAAATGCTTTAAATTAATTGTCTTAGCATCCTGATCATTAACTATATTTATTTTTAGAAGATATAGTAGATGACTATAAGACATTTAAGCCATCATATTTTGAATTAAATGGATGTTTAGTATGTTATGGATAATATTAACAAAACTTAACATAATCAGATAAATTAGGTGTAGTTTAATAAGAAATACGACCTGCATAAAATAGATTAATAATAAAATTGAAAAAAACAATGGAAATTTAATAAATAATATTGCCAAAAGATCCTTCATATATAAAAAATAAGAAAAGCTTTATAAAATAAATAAATATTTATATCAATAATAATCTATCTTCAGATATGAATAGTTTAAAAACTGACATGAATTTATGGAAAAAAACCAAAACAGTTAATATTACGCAAGATAATAAAGAATAAACTGCAAAAGATTTTTAAATAACATTTCCTATTCCTATTACTGCCAAATTTATTTGCTTAGAATTTATTCTAAATGGAAAATTACCACCTTCATGTTAGAGATGCCCTGAAGTTAGGTATTTTTTTTTATTTTAAATTATTTATATAACATATTATTTTTAGAGGTGAAGGCTCAGGTCTTTTCTGTAATTAATGTTAATGGAGTCCTTTAATATCGGTAGAAAATTCACATTTTATTTATAAATCGAATAGTTTTACTGAAGCAACCATTATAGATTGTGATAAATCAAAAGAAAATGTAAAATAATTAATTTAATATATATAAAAATCATATATTAAAGTGTGAGATAGCAATATAAGATAATAATAAAATCATATATGATCTATCTTAGGAATTATTAAAGGAAAAATATAAAATGAAAATACTTTATGATCGTTATTATGGTTCAAAATGTGTAAATTCCTCAGGAATTTTGTTAAATTCAGATGATTTAAACATTCTTTATTAAGATTTAATGTCTAGTATGAACGCTCTTATCTCTTATAAGAAAGCTTTAGCTTAATATAGTGGAATTTCAACTGATAATTTTAAAAAATAAATATTTGGGAATGAAAATAAAGAAGGATTTAGGGGTTGCTATGGATGCTTGTAATAATTTATTTACATTTTTTTAAATTTTATGGGTAATAAAGATATTCTATAATGTGTATAGGACGATAATTTAATAAAGAGTTTAAAAATAACACTTGAAGAATTATTTTTGAAAGGAGAAAGTTAATTTTAAGCAAAAATTGTACACAAATCGATGAATTTACACAAAAAAATCTTCTGCGTGAAATTAAACCAAGAAAGCCTTTTGTATTTGAACACTTTTTTGGAAAAAACAGAAGATGAATTTTTACATTTAAAACCTTCATTAAATGATTAAGAATTAAACTTTTACAAAATAAGGCTTTTAGACGTCAAAAGTTTCCTTCAAGTTTTAAAAGATTAAATGTTAGAAGAAGAAAATGCGAAAAATAAATAATTAAATAGTTTGAGATTAAAAATTATTAATTTTGTGAATAATGTAATGCCTTCTATATTATAGAAAGCTTATGAAAAAAATCATTCTTCTGGATTTTAAAATTAAATAATAGTGCCTTTATTAGAAATAATTTAGTTAGAAATTAATAAAGAAAGTCCCTTTATATAAAATAATGCGTAAAACACTTTAAGTTCTAATTCACAATTTTAATTCGATAAAACTTTAAGCAATATCAATTAGAGAAACAAAGATATTTTATTAGAATAAGAAAAATAAATTTAAGAAAAGCTTTAAAAAGGACAATAGTTTATTTCTCAAAATTTTGGCTAAAATTCTTCTTTTAATAGATATAATTTCATGCTTTCATATAGTGGATTGGGAGCACTTATTGGAAAAGATTCTTAATAAAGAGATTCTCTATCAGGAATTATGCAAAGTTAATAATAGTCTTAATTTAAAAAGAATGCAAAAGAACTTATTTAATAAAAGTAGAAATAAACTTATAGTTAATAAAAATAAGTGAAAAGTTCAACAAATAATAATACCAAATTAACATCACATAAAAAAAAAGAAAATCTTTTTACATTACTTAATATTATTATAGGTCTTAATTAAGATTTCGGGGAATTAACAGAAGAAAGATGTGAAGTTTTAAGCAATTAATTTTAATTGAGAAATGATAACTGGTTATAATAATGCATAAAGCTCTTTTCTTCGAGAAGAATTAATGAAATTATGCACTTTATTATAGTTCAAATTGCATATTTTAATAAAAAAATTGCTTTAAATTTACTTTTGAATGCACTCCCATAAGCTTTAGAAAATTAAGAAAACTCCATTAAATATTTTGAACTCTTTAGAGAAGTTATTAAAATATAAAATCTAAGCAATCAATAAGATTAGGTAATTAAAAAGCTTCCAGGGTTATCTATGATGCATTAATAAAGTTCTGAAGAAAGCACACTGTAGAAAAAAGAACTAGAAGAGGAAAACTTACAAGAAGAACATGAGTATATTTTCGTTTTATAAAATATGTTTAAGCTTTTAGACGAAAAATTATAAAAATATGCAAAAAACGAATCTTAATAAGTAATATTTGCACATGAGTTCGTTATTTAAAATCTTAATATGGGCTAATCCTTAAATTAATTAGCTGTTTTGATTAAAATTTTAATCGATAATTAAAAGATAAAAACTATTTTTAAAAATAATAATAAGATCTTTATGTAATATATTATATAATCTGTTGTTAATATTAGAAAGTTTAAATTTATTCTTAATTAAAATTTCTTCCAAATTGAAAATATACTTTCTACTCTTTTCTTGGAATTATAAAGTAATAATTTTATGGAAAAGTTCAAATTTTTAAAAAGTCTTATCGTTGCTCTTCCTTCTAATTCTAAAAATCCTCTTGGATAAGAATTTTTGATGGAATAAGTAAGTTTTTTATTAAAAAAAAAAAAAGAAAAAATTATTATAAATATAAAAAGATAAACAAAATCCTAATTCCTAAAAAGCTAAATATTAACCTTAGATTAGAAGTTTAAGCTAATTAAAGAGAATATCTACCTAGTTCTTTACCTAAAAAAGATATTCCAGCCAATGAATTTGGTAATACTATGAATGATATTCTATCAAGAATCAAATCTGAACTTCCTGATAGTTCTTGGGTAATAGAAATGTTAGTAGCAAATAAACTTATAATTAATAAAGTAATATATATATATATATAGAAATAAGTTACATTATATTTATTAAAAAAAATATAAGGATTTGCCTATCGATCTTGTATATAAAAAAGTTTGGATTCCCTCATAATTAAAAGGTATTCCTGCAATTCAAATCGATTGGAAAAAGTAAGTATAAACAAGTGCAATGAAAATAGTTTATAGGATTACTGGATTTGATGGAGAAGCTCATGAAGAAACAGTTGATTAAATGGTAGATGAGGATTTAATTAAATTGCTTAGCTTTATCTAAAGTGCTTTTTGAAAATATTATTGATTTAGATGGAAACTAGACTTGCGGTTTAGCTTGTCTAATTAATATTGTAGATTAAATATATATGGATTTAGAATAAAAATGGAAGTTATAAAATATTATTACAATTCTTAATTTAACTTTTAAACATTCGGAAGGAAAATATAAAGTATTTTATTTACATTTTATAATATTTTTTTTTAAAAAAAAATAAGGCTCTTCATTATAATGGATTAAATATATTTATTAAAGTCCTGATGAAATTTCTTCCCAATATGAATGAAAGTGAACCTGATTGTTTAATTTAAAATATGTTTGAATTAATTCATGGATTACTTGATGAATCTGAAAATATTAAATTTAAAATTAATAAAAGATCTAATATTGACATTGAAGACGATTAAATGGTAAATATTTATGATGAGGAAGAATGTTTAGATAACGTTAAATTATGTATTAATAAAATCAACACAATTGAATAAAAGGGAAATAAATATAAAAATTAATTAGTTTAGGATTTAATTAGAATTCTTCCTATCCTAACTAGAGATTTTGTTAAACCTTCCTAATATATAGTTAATTCTTTCGAATAATATATAGAATTCGATGACTAATGTATTTTTATTAAAATAAATATATCAAATAATATAATATAGAAATTAAGAAAGAAAACTAAGAAAAAATAAATAAATTTATGGAAATCGCAGAAAAAGTTCCCGAATATTTCTAATCTTTCCGTGAAGAAACTATAAATAGTGGAATATTAAATAAAGCAACATAATTATTTCTTTAAATAGTTTCTGATTATGTAAAAAATATAAAATAAAATTATTTTTTCATTTTTTTATTTTTTAAGTCTAAAATAAACTAAGCAAAAATAAAACAATATAATACATCCCTATAAAGATGCCTATAAATATTTATGTCCTTAATAAAAGGAAATCATAATATCTAATTAATTTTAAGTAAATAAGGAATACTACATAGTATATATTAATTAACTGATACATCAATAAAGATAAAGGAAATAGGAAAGATATCAGAAGATATAATAGAGTATATTGTTTGTGAGAAAAATATGGTTCATAAAGAAGTGTAAAATTTAATAATAAAAATAAAACATGAAGATGCTTAAATTAAAAAAGAAAAAGCTCATTAAGTGAAATTAAATTAACTACAAATGCTAAACACTAATGCTTAAAAAATCAAATAAGTATTCGATTTTGGGGATTTAGAAGAAGAAACAAGCATAAAATGTGTTGTTTGTTAAGAAGGCTATACTTTAAGACCAAAAGATATTTTAGGAGCTTATATTTATTCAACTTCTTATAACATTTTTGATATATAGAAGCTTGTTTATGAAGGAAACTCTTATGTAGATAAATCTTCAGTTACTAGCGTAACTTCTTTCAATTTAATCCATTTAAAATGCCACTAAGAAGCAGTTTAAGCAGATTAAAATGTATTAATTTAAAAAAAACAAAATAAAAAAAATAAAAAAAGAGCAAAAAACCGAAAACAGAATGGGAAGGTGCCCTTATCAGAAACTCAGAGGCAAAATGTAATAACTGGTTCCCTTTAAAAGGTCCTGAAATAGATTAAAATTAAACAGAAAACGCTCTAAAAAAATACTTTAAGTGCATTGGTTAATAAAGTATTTCTGGTAATTAAGCAACTTGGATTATTATGAATGATTTTAAAGGTTTGTTAATGAAATTTGCTAATTAAGAAGATATAGCTAAAGAAACAAGAACAACGTATATATATAAATATTTATAATTAGATATAAATATATATAAATATTTATTATATATATATAATTATATAAATAAATGTATATATATGATATATATTTATATATTTATATATATATTTTTTATATTTATATATATATATATATTTTTATTATTTAATTAATATATTAAAAAATACAAATCAGTTTTGAACATAATATTAAAATTCTTCCTTTCTTTATTTCTATTATTAGTAATTAATTAATATAATAAGGATAAAATGATTTGGTTAATAAACTCGAATAAAAGTTAGGATTATTTCTTTATAATAAATTAAAAGAAGAAAATAATAGAAAAATAGAAGCTTTACAATTGTATTTAACAACATCTCTATTTGTTTATACATATTAATAATGGAAAAGTAAAGCTTTTAAACTTTTCTTTTAGTAAGCAATTAGTATTTTTGTGCCTTCTTATTTCAAAAGCAATGTTGATATGGATACTAGAATAGGAAAATATGCTTAGCCTTTTCTTTTAGAAATTACTTTTTGTAATTTCTTATTTAATAAAATTCATGCTAAAACCTTAAGCTAATTTTAAGGAAATCTAGTATAATTAAATGAAAAGATTGATATTCATATTTGCCATAATTATGATTAAGTTTCTTTTTTTTATATTGTTATTTTATTTTTTATAATTTTTTAAAAATAGCTTATTGAAGACTTGTAATAGTTTTATATTGAATATAGAGATAAAATAACTAAATTTACTAAAGTTAGTGAATATTTAGATTATTGTGAAATGAAATAAGAGATATAAGAAAACTTACAAAACTTTAGTTAAGTTTTTGATAAATATAAAGAATGATAAAAAAAATATTTATTTTTATTTTACTTTTTTAAGAAATAGTTAAAATATTTTTTAAAGATATATAATTAAAAAAAATTCATTAAATTTAATTTTTGTTTTATATTATTAACATCTTAAATAAAAGTTAATAAAAATTTATTTAAGATATTTTATTTATAAAATTTTCTTAAAAAATGTATTTTTTTTAACTTTTCAATTTTGTAATTTTCTAGATATATCATTTACTGTTCCCCAATAATTCATCATATCATTACTATTAATAATTTCTGATTCAGAAACACATTATAAAACTTATTTATATATGGTTTTTTTTTCATTCTTTTTTTTTTTTTATATTATTAATATATATTTATTTAACTTTGAATCTTTCAATTTCTATTTCTCCTATTATGTTTGTAATAATGTCAATTAAAATATCGAAATTTTTTGATTCATTGTGACCCTTAAATAATAAATTTTGTTATTTTATATAAATTAAAAAAAATGACTTATTCTATTTATAATTCTAATTTCTTCCTTTGCTCATCTACACTAGAAAACATTGCTTTTATTGTCTTTTTTCCTTAAATAAGTTTTGAAAAATCTTCTTCGTCTGATTTTAAATCTTTTTAAAGCGAAATTCTATTTTTTTCATATTCTTCTTTCTAATTAATTAATTCGATAAAAGCCTATTTTTATTACAAGAATAATAATAAATAAAATAATTATACTTCAGCATCTCTCAATTCAAATTTAACCATATCATAGAAATGTTAAAAAGAATTTTTAGTTTTGCTATTTTTCTAATAAATTTAAAATAATTAATTATATATGTTAAGTAAAAAAACTACAATTTCTTCTTATGATTTAAATATATGAGTATTAAATTAATTTTAGAAAATTAAAGCATTATTATCATATGCTACATATTCGCTAATTAAACATTTTTCATATTCAGGTAATAAATTAGAATTCAACTAATCAAAATTATCATTTAAATCCTTTCTTAATTAAACCAATAATTTCAACTATTCCTTCTAATTCTTTTTAATATAAATTATAAAATGATAACAAGAAAATATATTATTACTTTTAAGTCAGCTACGGCTTTACTTAAAAACATAAAGAAAGCTCCAATTTTAATATTTAATTCTTACTAAGGTTTTTTCTAGAAAGTGAATGAATAGTAATTATTAAAAAGCTTAATAATATATTTACATTTATAAAGTTAGGGAATTAAATTTAATATTTATCAATAATATCTATAACACTATATTTTTTCATATTTTATAATGCCTTTTATAAAATTTTTAAAAATATATATATAAAAATATTTAGAACCTTTGAAACATCACAATCTTTAGAACGCAAAAAAAGCTAAAATTCGTCGGAATAATAAAGATGCTTTAATTTAGATACTTAGTTGCAAAAACTATTCAAAAATCTTGCCCTATTTTCAACTACATTTTGACTTGTAGAATTCTTTTTTTATTTTTTATAATTTAGGGAATAAATATAAAAACCATCTCTTTTGCAGGTATAGAAGGAACGAAGCATCCAGGCCATCTTACAACTAAAACTTCTTTCAAACAATAGAATTCATTAAATCTTCTATATACATCGAAAGCGCCATTTGAGTCATAACCTTTTATATTATAGGCTGTAAATTTACTTAAAGTTGTTTCTTTTGTAACTGGTTCTCCTACACATATTTAAATCTTTTATTTATTATTTTTTATATATATTTCTTTTTATAATACATCGTTTTATGTGTAATCAACAAATGGATTTTTTATTTGTTAATTCTATTTTTTTTAAAAAAAAAAATATTAGTATATATTTTTTATACTTGTTAATTGTCTTAATAATTATTTTAATTTTAATCCATTTTTAAAGGTTATATATATATATATATATTTTTTCTTTTATTTATATTTTTTAGATTAATGCGTATAAAATAGATTTAATAATTAAAAATAAAATTATTTATTTTATTTAATTTATTTGTTTACTAATAAATATATATTTTATAAAATAACTATTATATTATAAAATAAAAAAATAAATGTCAAATTAACAACTAAAAGTAAAATATATATAATTAAAATAGTTTAACTATATATAATAAAAATTAATAAAATTAAAATAGTTACCTCCATTAAACTAAATTTCAGATTATAATACTCCTGTAATAATAAAAAAACCAATAAATAATTAATAATTATTTTAATATTTATAAAAAATATAGTAACCAATAAATAACTCATAGAATGAACTCCAATAATAAAATACGCTTTCATTTTCATCATATGAAACCATCCTTTTAAATTACCTTCAGATTAATAAATTGCTAAATTCTATGAGATTGAAAATCAAAAAAAGTAATAGAATAGGCAAGAAATATTAGAAAAAAAAATATGGGACAAAAAATCAGGTCAAAATCGTTAAGCATTGAAGCATTTTAAAATATTTTTAGCCAGAAAATTATGTAATTTTTAAGCCAAAACACTAATATAAAACTGAGGAAAAAAGGTTGATTTAAGCAGCATTAGATACAGCTAAAGAAAGATCGAAAAAAAAAAAAACGGAACCATATAATTAGTCTGTTATTAATATTTTGTAATAAAAAAAAGAAATATTTCTCATAACTATGTCAAATGATATTATTGAAAATGAAGTTTTTTATTTTTTTATTAAATATACGATAAAATAAAAAGATAAACAAATTAAAATCAAGTACAGAAGATAGAGAAAAGGCTTTAATTGAAAGTGAAAAAATGCTAAAATAGGATAATGATAAGTTTTAGAGATATTTAGAATAAAATAAATAATAAAAAGTTGATGCAGAATAAAAGGCTGACGAATAAAATAAATAAAAAAAATAAAAAGAAATATTAATTAAAGAGATAAACTCTAAATTAACTTCTATTAAGGCTGATATTTCTAAAAGTGACGAATTACTTCTAAATTATAAAGAACATAAAGAATTTTTAGATAAACTAGTTCCTAAAGTATTTTTTAAAAATTATTTTAGATTCTAATTTTTATTTTTTAAGGAATGGGAAGAAGAAAGGAATAAAAAAAGGTAAGAATTTATTTAAAATTTAAAGTAATAATGGATTAATAAAAGATTAGAAAACATTTAAGGTTTATATAAAATAAAAGATATTTTTTATTTATAAATTATATACTATAATAGATAGAAATTTAAAAAATCAAAGAAAGGCAGGATAATTTTTAATAAATGAATAAAAACAAATTTTATATTAAAAATTGGAAAATGAATTTAATAATGCTTTGTAAAAAAATTAATTAGAAGAATTAGAAGGTTTTATTTTTTAAATTTATTAAAAAGTACTAATATCTCAAAAAAAAAAATAGAATTTAATGATAATTACCCTATGTATTTTAATAATCATAATTAATTAATTGAACTGTTTAATGAATTTGAAGAAAAGAATTTATTTTTAATTTAAATGAAATAAGAAGATGAATCTGCTTTAGATGAAATAAAACTTAAATTTTAACAGGATAAACAAGTAAATATTATTTTATTTTAATAAATATTTATTATTAAATAAAGAACTTAAACAACTAATTTAAAAATTTAAATTCATAAAAAGAATAAATAAAAAAATAAATTGATGAAATAAATAGTAGTATAAAGCATATTAAATAAACAAATGAAGAGAATTATAATTAAATAGTAGTAAAAAATGAAGGAAAAATGAAAGATTTAGTAATTAAAAAAAAAAAATATAATTTTTTATTTTTTTAAAAGATACTAAGCATTTATTAAAATTTCAAAGAAGATATAAATTTAAATGATGTTGAAAACGTTTCTGCTTTAAAAATATTATCAGTATAAACATTAAAATAATAAATAAAATTTTATTATAAATTAAATATATATATAAAGTAATTAGAAATTTTAATAGAAAAATAAATAAAAGAAATTTAGGTTTATCCTATAAAAATTGTTGAAGAAAAAGTTGATAAAAATATTTTTTATTTTTTTAATAATTTTAATAGCGAAAAAAAGCTGAAAAAGACAGAAAATAAGTATTTAAATAAATTTTAAACTAAAAAAAAGATGAAGAATTACAAAGAAAAGCATAAAAAAATTAAATTAAAATGTCTTAATCAATTAAAAAAAAGTATAAGAATTTTATATTATATTATTATCTAAAAAATAATAAAGATAAGGAAGAATAGATATGTAAAGAAGTGCTCCATTTTTATTATCAGAAAATAAAATAGTAAGAAATATAACTAGTTAAGATGAAGGAGATTCTAAATATTTTAGAGAAGATTATAATTTATTATGAAAAATATAGATATTATTTAAATTTTTCAAAGAATTATAATGTCTTTTTACTTATCTTTTGTATAAAAATAATAATAAATATAATTTAAATTTACAATTATAATTTTCTAGTAATTTAATTATTAATTTTTATTTAATTTACATATTTTATTTAATATAAAAAAAATAAAAATAACCTTAAAAATTATTTTTATTTTCAAATATTAAATTATTTAAAAAATATTTTTGTATAAAACTATATATTATTTATAATAATTTTTTTTATTTTAGATATTAATTATTATTTATTTTATTACTTTATTTAAATTTAATATAATTTCAACACTTTTTATTAATATAGTATTCTACCATAATATGTTTAATAAACATATAATCCATTAAAATATAAATATAATTTTTAACCTAAAATATATAAGTATTTAATAATATTTGTAATTCTTTTAAAATAATATTTTTAAATATATTGTTTTATTATTATTAATGTATCTAATGGCTTTTATTTTATAAATATTCCTAAAAAAATTATTAATGCTCTTATCAAGATGGTAGGTCGCCATGATTTTTAGAGAATATGATACTTTCCTGAAATTCAGTTTTCTTAGAATTTTCTCGTATTAATATTTTATGACGATTTTTATTTTTCTTAAATATAAAATAAATTATTTTATTTTTTTAGTTTAAATTTAATTTTTTTTTTTTAATGTTTTATACTTTAATTGTTTATTTTAATTTTAATAATAAGATGGAGGGAGTAAATTCTTTTTATTTAAATAAATTTTCTATATTTATTCTTTTTATTTAGATGTATTAAAGTTTAATATTTTTATATTACTTCTTCGTACGTATTGCTTTTTTTATTTTTTAAAAAAACTCAATCAAAAAGGCTTTTATCTTATTTATTTTTATAAAAAATTAATTTTTGTATTTATGAATAATTCGTGATACATTAATTTGCTTAATGTAATGAATAAAATTTAATATAAAATATGTGAAAAAATCCCAAAAGTCATTTTTTAAGATGGTTTTTATATTATATATGCATCATATTTTTAACTATATATATAAAATTATTTAATTTATACGTTTTTATATTAAATTATTATTGTTTTATCAAAAATTGTTAATATTTTTTGTTATATTAAAAATGAAAGAATAAAGAAAAAAATAAAAAATGCAGTTCCAACATTTTTATTAAAATTACATGATATGGTTGAAGTTATCCTTTATTTATAAATTATTTTTATTTAATAATTTTTTTAAATATAAAAACAAAGGATAAAAGCAACTAAAATATAATAAATTGGAATCAAGATGGTTTATCTTTTGTAATTAAAAATACAAATGAATTCTCAAATAGTATATTGCCTAAATATTTTAAACACAATAATTTTTCTTCTTTTATAAGATAAGTAATATATTTTTCAAATATAAAATATTTAGGGGTTAATTTTTTATATAAAAAAGTTAAATATGTATGATTTCCATAAAATAAGAAATGAAAATAATGAAACAGAATTACGACATAAATTATTTCAAAAAGGAAAAAAGTAAAAAATACTTTTATTATTTAATATTTGTTATTTTATAATAAAAATAGCATCTTACTTAATTAAATTAAAAGAAAAAAAAATAATCCTAAAATACAACCATTAGAAAAAAAATTAAATCTTAAAATTAGAATAATGAATAATATAGTTAATTTAATTAATTTGATTAATTTAGTTATTTAAATTATGATAATTAAACTTTTTACAATCAAAAATAAAATTTAGATGATGAATTTTAAAAAATAAAATAGTAAATATTTTAATAAAATTTATAAATCTAATCTATAAATCAAAATCTATAAAAATAATAAACATAAGGAAAAGTTTTATATAACTAATTCAATTAAATTAAGTATATAATTAAATAATAAAATTTTTGTTAATAACACTTTTAATTATATATATATATTTTTTTTAAGAATAAATTAATAAGATAAAAAAGATAACGTTTATTTGTTACTATCCTATTGCTTTTCAAACATATCATAATTTGAAAACAAAATAAATAATTTTAATTAAATGTAATAAGATTTATTTGACTAAGAGTAATATGTATAAAAATCTGAAAATTAAAAAATGGAAACAATAAAATAAGACTAACAATAAGTATAAGAAAAAAATTATAAAGTTAAAAAATCTTATGAATATTTTATTTAAACTCATATTAAAATAAAAAAAGGAAAAGCTTATTTTATGTAAATAAAATTGTAATTAAATAAGTTAAAATAATGGTTGTGAAACAAATAAAATAGATTTATTATCAAATGTTATAAAAAATACAGATTTTAATATTTTAAGTAGTATAGTATAGAAACCTTTATAAATAAATTAAGAACAGAAATAATTAAGTTTAGATTAGAAATAATATATATAATAAAATATGAATAAACAAAATCTTAATGTATTTGAAAAAATATTTAAGCATGTTTGTGCATATGATAATTTATGTTTAAAAAAAAACTAAGTAGTAATTCATAAAAATTAATAAGATAAAAATATATATTAAAAAAAGTAAAATAATGAGTAAGAAATTATTAATAATGATTAATTTTTCTCTAACCCAATAATTTAATTAAACAATTTTTTATATAATGATAGTTAAAATTAAAATTATTTTTATAATAATAATAAAAAGTCACAAAATTAAAGCCCTATTTAAAGTAAAGATAATCTTTCTTAAATAATTAATGATAAAAACTTTAATTTTATAGACTTTTAAAGCAATAGTCTTGATTTATAAGATTTAAAAAGCTTAGGAAGCTTATAAAATATAAATTAATTAAATAAAATAGATGATATTAATCTTTAGAATAATAAAATATGAGAATTACGAAGATAAAAAAAAATATTTAAATGTAATTATTTTTACTTAAATTATATAAAAAATTTTATTTATATATTATATCCTGTTTTAAATCCATAATAAACGAATTTTAAAAATATTTAATTTATTCTTATTAATTATATTTATATTTATATTTATATTTATATTTATATTTATATTTTATTTATATTATGTTTTTAAATTTAATTCTTTAACATAATCGATATATTTAATAATTTTATATAATATTTTGTTTATTTATTGCATATATATTTTTTTAGATTCAAAAACTAAATTTTTTAAAAATAATTATAATTATATAAGATAATTACAATTTTTTTTTAAAAAAAAACGCAGAATTGAAATTAAAATAAATATTTTTATCTTATATTTTCATATCCTTTAATTAATTTTTTCTTTTAATAGTTTGAAAATTATAAAGATTTTATAAATCAAAATTATTTAATTTTTTAAAATCTTATCTTAAATATAATTAATAATATATTTCATTTTATAATATCCATAAAATTCAATAAATTAAAATAATTTATTAATTTAAATAAGTATATATAATTAAGTTGATATATGTTTGATCTCAACATAATTAAAATTGAAAATTAAAGATAAATCTAAATTTATTAATAATTAGAATTAAGATAACAATGAATTAAATTTGTTTCTTAATGTAAATTTTAAATTAAAAATATTTATAATATATTCTTATATACTATTTAAATTATAATTTTTATATAAATAATATAAATTAAATTTAAATGCTTTAATATTATAATATAAATATATATTTTTTATATAATGCTAATATATTACGAATACAGATAATATAAATTTTCCTTTTGTGAAAATTTTCAAAAATGAAAATTTGTTTTAGAGCAAAATTATACTTTTACTGCATCATTTTATTAAAAGTAATTTGTTTTTTTATTAATAATTTATTTGAATAAAAATACTTAAATTATTAACATGTAAAAATAAAGATAAACATATTTATAAAAATATAAAAATTAAATTAAATATAAAAAGTCAAAATGTTATAATTTTAAGACTTTTTAAACAATCATAATATCGATTATTCGTCTTTAAAAGTAAGAATAGATATCTTAGAAAACTTTGGAAAATGCATTATTGCAAATGAAAATATTTAAAAGGATGAAGAAATATTATCGATTCCTTAGAAGCTTTTTATATATTTTTCTCATGCAATAAAAAAACATTAATATTTTAAAGATTTATATGAAAACTATAATATATAAAAAATATGTATATTTGCTTTGTATTTGTATTTAGAAAAGGATAATAAATAAAATGAATTTTATATATATTTTTAAAATATACCATAAAAATATTTAAATATTATTACTTGGGATTAATTTCATTTTAAGTATTTACGATAAGAATTATTTTTAAAATATTCAACTAAAAAAAATAGAATTAAAGAATAGTTGGAAAAAATTTAATCTTATTTAGATTAAAATAATATATAAATTTTAATTAAAGAAGATTAATTTTACTAAT